GCGGTGGTGATGGCGGTGGTGGCGCGGACCCGGCAGGGCAGATGGAGAAGGTGGAGAACGGCGAAGAGAGAAGGAGGAGAGGAGCAAAAGCAGGGAAGGAGGAGGACAAAAACGAGGCATTAGCGCTGCCCGTGCTACCGTGTGTTCCACGGTCCGCCCGACCGCCCGCTGATGCCCATTTCTACTTACCAAATTAGCATTATTACCCGCGCGCGGACACAAAAATGCAATCAATGTGTATAACCCTCTCCCCTCCCCCCGGTCCCATTCGCGTACACGCCGCGTACGTACGTGTGTAATCCAAAAAGGAAGGTGCCGGCCGACCCCCGGCCGATCCGCGTCGGCGCGCACCCGCCGCGCGCGGACCAGTGTTAACGACCCTGATTTCTGCGCTCCGCCGAAGACGTACGAGTTCTTGCGCCGCACGCCACGTTACCGCTTTATGCGCGTCGCGACTCCACGCCGCGTCTTTCTTTTCTGCCACCGCGCGCCACGGATACGCTCGGAAAATTCGTAACGAGCGTCGAGATTACCTCGCGTCGATCTCGCGCGCGAGAGGATCATCTCGCGGTCCGAGATCTGCGCGTCTTCGCCAGCTCATCACCGACGCGTTTTGTATCCTCGATTTCATTTTTTTTCTCTCCCATTGTTTTAAGATTAATGAACGCAAATTTAATTCTAACAAGAACTAACGCTCGCATTACAACGACGCAAGATGTTTTCCACCACCCGAGTTTGCTCCGATATGATACATTAGCCTCCGAAACAAAAAAAAAAACAGTCGCAACAACCCAGAACGTATGTTCCATCGCGCGGACAAGCGGTTGTTCGATCGAGGCTACCTGGGCGTTGTTGAAACATCGTCTCGCGAATTTACACGCGCGTCCCGCGGCGTAATTAACGCGCGGGATCCGAAGCGGGTTCCGGACTCTTGTAGAACATAGAGCCATGTGTCCGACTTTGGACACATCGGTGGACACTCGTGTCGCGCTGTAGCGCTTCGCGCGTGTGCGTTCATTTCGAGACGCGCACACACACAGACGTACACACGCGCGTGTGCGACAGCGGCTCGGCGCGAGAGGGATTCGACTTTGGAAGCCTGCGGGCATGTAAGACGTACAGGCTACCAGTCTTACGCATCCCGCCGCACACACACGGGACATACATCACTCTTATACACGCGTGAACTTCGCGTCTTCTCGTTCGGACGCCTCTCTGTCTCTCTCGATGAGGTCTTCTCTCCCGTGCACGCGCGCTCGTCGGTAATTATTATTACGCGGGATAAAAAGAGGAACGATTCTCGACGCGAGAAACAGCGGGGAGATCGCGAGATGCGTGGATCTCTTTTCGGTGCCTCTTTCCCTGTAATCAGCCGCGGACGGTGGAGGCGCGAGAGGAATGAAACAAAGAGAGAGACTGCGCCTCTCTCGAAAAGAAACGCTTTTCGATGCTCGAGGTGCTTCGCGCGAGTACGTTTAATTGATTCCGAGAGCTAATCGAGGAGGGAATACAAAATGCCGAGAATCGCGAATTAAAAGCGGAGATAGTTTCAAACGCGAGAACATCTAGAATTTTCACAAATCGTTGGATTTTAAATATATTAATATAATATATTTAATAGAATATAAAATTATGGAAAACTGTATATAATAAATTAACATAATAAATTTTGTACAATATAATTATGTGTGTGGAAAATCGCTAAATTATCATTAGAGGGAGTGGATAAAATTAAAAGTTTTGTTTGTATAGTTACGCTTTTGATTCTCATAGTATGTTTTGCTATGAGTTAATTCGCGATGCTATATATTTACTCTTTTTGAGTTAACCCTCTCTATACCGCCGTGTAACTTTAAAATCACATACTGATACATCAACGTTCTTTTAATCCAATTTCACTTTTTTAGCCGCAATGTACGTACATTTTGTTCTGTCACCTTTTTTTCGTAACTATGAAGATTGTTTATCGCAATTGTCAAAAACGAAATAAATAAAATCTTCGAAAATTGTAAATTCATGTTGTTAATTTATATCTAGAGATTGATATTTGTTTTGGCTTTCACGTTACATAAATTTTTTTATATGCTTACGAAAAAAATAATTCGGGTTGTAGAGAGTTAAGTCTAATAGTCCCAAGTTATTTTATTATTTGGCTTCGTTTTATTGATTTATATGTTACCAATTTCTGTACTATTGTTATTCCTTCATCGAACAGTTGAAGAAAATATTTCAATGATTACAATTCTTCCGAATATTAGCGAGAATATCAATTGTATGCGCTTTGCGTAAATGTAAGGTAACAAATTGTTGCAAGACAAAGTTCACGAAAAAGAGAGAGAGAGAGAGAGGAAACAAGAGACACACACGCGTGTGTTTCGAGATAAAAGTATATAAAAAATATATAAAATAGTTTTTCCAGCAGATCCATAACCTGTTATCACGAATTAATGTAACCGAACATCGAGGCCCACCTGCGAGTACAAGATAAGAGCCGGTCGTTTTCATCGGGAGATCCTTCCTCTCGATAGCCTGTAGTGTCTCTGAGAAAAATGCCTTCGACTGAGATATACACATATATATTTACAACACGTCGCTCTCCGTCGTGCGTTAAACGTCACATTATCGTCCTCGTTCCGACTATTCTCCGCGTAATTAAATTATTTCTCCGTCTCGGAATTCAACTTGTTTTACCGCTTTTCGAGCAATGTCGTTATTCCCGTCGTCGACGCCTTACACAAACTTTGTAACGCACACACATACATGTGCGAATCTCAACTCCCCGCGTAATTACAGACACGATGTAACTCATCGAGCGTGTACGCGAACGCGTACCTCCTAAATAAGCGCTTGTAACTTCGCGTCGGGATTAATTAGCGTTTTCCGTGCGCTTCAAAAAAGAAAAAAAAAGAGAGATAAGAAAAAAAACGTTCTCATTATCTCAAACACCGGCTTTTTTTCGGTAAAATCTGGATTTGCCCAGATAAATGGAACAAAACGCTTTTCGGCTCCTCGGCACCCGCGTCCTCCTCTCGCCCCGGAGATTCTCTCCTCCCTCGCTATTTTTCTGCTCGCCGGCGCTTGCGGAACGATAAATTTTCAGCGCTGAAGAAAGACTTTAGATGCCTGAGGGGCACGTTTTGCGCCGCTTTGTCCTTTCGACTCCTCTTTGCTTCCCTCATCTCGTTCCTTCCTCTGACTTGCCCTCCCCCCTTTATCTCTCTCTCTCTCTCTGTCTTTCTCGCTCTCTTTCTCTCTTATCCTTTCTTCCCTGACATACCTGTCTTTCCGCACTCGCTCTTCTTCTTTCTTCCTTCTCCCTTCCGCTCTCATCCTCTCTCGGCTGCTGTCCCTCTCGCTTCTGCTGCTGCGCTTCTTCTCTCCGCTTCCTTCCCTGCAAATTTACAATGCCCTCGCTTGTAATAAGCGGTTGCGCGCTTCGTTCACGATTATGAGCTCACTTCAGGTACCGAGGGGGGACTTATCGAGTTAAGGCCCCGCTGAAGCGCCGGGCGTAGGACAGGAATGTCCACGATGCTTCGAAATGACCACTTCGCGGGAGGGAAACGCGCTTTTTTGACTTGCTAATATTCGATTCGTATTTTACACGCGGTATATCTCGACGATCTTAAACAACATTTACATTCGCGCGCGCGAGATTCATAAAAACGTCGATCATAACAACGGCGTAAATTCGTAAACAAGTTCGCGAACAAACGGCTTTCCAAAGAGATTATTTTAAAACAAAAAATTCTCATTGTTTCCGCACGTGATTCACAACAGTGTCCCGACACGCCCGAGCTTGTACACGCATAAATATGCGGACGGACTTGTAAAGTTATAAAATAAGACGTGAAGTTCCCGGCGCGTATCATTGTCAAATTTTAAAAAGCTATTACGCACCCCGCGCGTATACCCTCGACGTCAGGCTCTATCTCTCTCTCTTTCTCTTTCTTCGGTATACGTTACAAAGTATACCGGAGAAGGCCGGAGAGTAGTCGGGAGCGGGTGGCAGGGTGTCAGCGGCGGTGAAAAATTCGCCAATTAAAAAAATCTCATTTCTCCTGGTAACGAGGGGTGGCGCGCAATTAATGTCAGACGCGAAAATGATTTATGGCGTGTGGGGGAGGAAGAGGATGTGGCCCGTGGGCGGCGCGGGCCGAGCTTATCATAAATTAATGAATTATCAGCGCGCGGACGTGTAAGCGAGAAAGAGGCGAGAGAGAGAGAGAGAGAGAGAGAGAGAGAGAGAGAGAGAGAGAGCGTACGCGAGAGAAAAAAAATGGAAGTGAGAAAGAGAAAGAACAAATCGCGCGTGATGCGTCAATGTGACGGTCTAAAATATTCATCGAACTCGCACCGGTGCGCCGAGCGCTCTCCCTTCGCCATATTTATCTCGTCTAAAAGTTTCATGCGCTCGCTTTGGTCGGAAGGACATCGACGAAAAAAAAAAAAGAAAAGTAAAAGACAGAAAACATGTAAATTTTTCCGCTTGCTCGACAGTTTCGGAGCTCGGGTTGTGTGTGCGCGCGTCTTGAAAAATATCGACCACGATGGTTTTTTTTTTTTTTTTCGACACTTGTCTTCGACAAAATACGGCGAGAAACAATGAGTTTTGCAACTTACTTCGTCATCCTTTAAGGAGTGCTTGGAAGGAAACAGAATGGAGAAACAATTAGAAGCCGGAGTGATGTTTTCGTGACGGGATTTCGATTGGGTTTTATTACCAAACGCTTGTGTACACTATGTGACTGATAAAACGGACGCGAGACGCGAGACGCGAGAAAGTTTTAGTACAAAAAAACACGGTAGGATCGCAATCGAAATTCGACTAACGTTAATCAATAATGGCGACCGCACGAAGTGGATGACGTCACGTGAATGACCACCGACGTCCACCTACTGGGTATCTCTCGCCAGTCGGTCAATTACCGACGGCTGCAGCGAGTTCGGGCGCGCGTCGTTCCGAGCGGGCGGCGCCTCGATCGCAATATGGCCACGTGCTGAGTGCTCCGGCGGTGTTTACGTGACGACGTGTTAGATTCGCGCTCACCGAATTACAATTCTTGTCGATTCGACTCGCGGTGATTCACGCGCGACGAAAGAAATCGCGCTCGATGACGCGCACGTAGCTAGCGGGTGGACCGGTCTGGCGTGGCATTTTCATCGCGGCAAGTATGGCGGGCGCGGACGAACCTCCTCAAACCAGGTGCGCCTATGGCTGTCAGGACACCACCTGTCAGGTCAGCAACTCCACGGCGTGCAGACCGCACGGCAGCCTCGCCAGAATGCTCTACGACAAGCGGAAAGCTGACGAGTTTCTGGCGACGTATGACAAGCGTAAGGTAAGATGCAATTTTGACGTGTTGTCTTCATATTTTTTTTCTGTAAGACGCGGAGGCGCGCGCGAGAGAAGCGTCTTCTTTTTTTTTTTTTTACGCTGCATCTCGCGCAGCAACGTCACGTAAATATCGCGTCTGTTATTCTGGCGATTGTTTTTTTGTCTCGAAATCAGATTATCTTGTATTTCTCGTCGCGATTGTTCTCGTTGCCAAGTATCGTTGTTTACCTCTCGCCCAGCTGCGCTTTCTCCGTCACCGCTTGAGGTCACGGCACAGTTTCAGGGCCGTACGGGTCGCGGCGGTGCGCCACGGTGCACCACTTTCTCACGCGTTAATGTTTTATTGAAGTACGAATCTATGTTCCGTTAAATCGCCGGAAATTCGATTGCAAAAATAAATTCTCGAAATGTAACAATTCGGAAAAACTACACATGTATTTACAAATTTAGCTCGTGTCTTTTTTTTCGAATATTGTTTTTTACTCACTATTTACTCACAGAAATTTTATTCTAAAGTGTCGAAAATTCTAAGAAAATTATATTGGACGCGACAATTAGAATAAAACTCTTCGAATATTTTGAAGATTATTAATCAGTGACGAATGTAATTTAATGCATGGTTGTTTTTTTTTTTTTTTTTTCCTACGAAGACGCGCACGCATAGTTTTGCATGCATGCTGTTTCGGTTCTTTGTAATCACGTCACGAAAATTCAACTCCGCCAGCGGAGTCCGACCGCGTCATTTAGTTCCCTGTCGATTACTTCTAATTTATGCGGCCGTAAATTAATTACGATTTCCCAGAAACCTCCCACCGTCAATTTTACGACTGCCCCGCGGGCATCTTCTCGGGCGCTAGAGAAGATTCTTTTTTTTTTTCCGAGAAACGAGGTTCTGAAATCTCCGCGAGTTCGGACTCTCTCGCGCGCGCGGGCCACCAAGGGTAATTGGGGAGGAAACTGGCGATGATGCACGGGGAGGGGAAGAGGGGCGGGGGTGAGAGAGGGGGGAAAAGGGCAGTAATAATTAGTACAATTACCGCACAAGGCCAACCACTGACTACCCCCACTCGGTTAACCGCCGAGACGTAGAGCTGCTCAAGAGTCAAGACCGCGCTCGGTAATTACGGGATAATTACGTCCTCGATATATTCCTGAAACATTCTCTCTCTCTCGGAGCCGCTTCGGGCACTGTCCACGACGTGTATGTATACGCCGTGGTCCTCACCACGAGCTTTCCTATCCTATTTATAATTACGGCGAAGTCCACGCCAATTTAACTCGCGGCGGTCACGATCGCGGTCTTCACGACGATCGGAGCGAAAAACGCGAACTCGCGATACCCGTCGATCCGAGAGTGGTAGAGCGTAATCGAACGAGTGCGAGAAACAAACTATCGGCCATCGTTTTTGTGCAAAGTAAATTTTCGTGACGAATAATTTATTTATCGAGAGAAACACAGATGAGTCGTTCTCTCTTCCGTATATTTTTTTCTATTCTATATCGATAGATCATTTGCGATTTATCTCTTGGTTTTTTTTTTTTATCCGCTTTTCGCAATCGCGTCATCCTCCGGAGAGATCCGGCAATTGATTCAATTGCTCCGACACTTAACTCCTTTGACAAAGGATTAACGCGCAGTAGAATGTAGTTGTTTATCACCGTAAACAAAATCGTTGAAAACGATTCTCGAATCGCGATTCAAGTGTTGCGCGTTATAAAAGTATCACATCGAGAAACAACACTTGTTTCTCGAGAACTTTATTTAACACTTGACAATAGTTCAAGAGATGTAAAACTTCAATTCTCTCTCTTTTTTTAAACGAGCAATAGTTTTATTATTTATAACTTCAACGCTCTCGTACGCGATAACGTTGCGATCGCGGAATCAATGCGGACAAAACCGATCGTTTTTGTTATATCTGCAATGAAATTGCCTCGTGAAACTTCATAAATTTCTGCGATTAATTCTGCATAAGTAACATCGAGATAAAACTTACTCGTTATCTATTATCGGTGTGTGTGTGTGTGTGTACACACGCTTGTCTCGCTTGTCGAAGAAACGCTTGTCTCGTTTTAGCAACATTTTCAAGTCATCAAGTTAATATTTAATTAACGTGATTTTATTTTTGCCCAAGATGTCGCTCTTTTTTCTTCGCAACACGTTCACGTCTTCGCGCACTTGCGTTCTTAATTTTCCAAGCGGTTTTTTTCCTAAGAAAAGTGACAGTTTTTTGGGGGGAGGGTGGGGGGAAAGGGGGAGAAAGTAAAGAAAAAAAGCTCGATCGAAATTACATTCTCAGCTCATGAGAGCTCATCTTCCGCTCGAATCAGCCCGAACAATCCGGTCGCGCATCTCTCGCTCGGCGTTAGGAGTAGGAAAAAAACAACGGTGACTTTTATCTTCGTATCCGCGAGCGGCATCCCTCTCTCCCTCCCTCTCTCGCTCTCGCCACCCTCGCGAGAGACGCAGAGCGAATCGATCTCGACTCCGGCGACTGCGGCGCGCACTCGGGCAGGTGCTCACGGGAGAAGAAGGGAAGAATCCCATTCGGTCGCGTGAAACGAGAAATTTGAATTTCGAGCACGGGAAGAAGAGCGCGGGGAAGGGGGAAGGGGATGCCCCGCGAGGTTTTCTCCCCACGAAATCGACGCGAGACATCACTTCGCGCATCCCAGGCAACGTCGTCTCGTTTGCGTTATACGTACATATATATACATACGTATATATATATATATACGTCCCTTAGCTAAAGTCGGAAAAAACTTTACTCCCCCGATCCCACGCGTAGTGGTGTTGATGCGACAGCTCCACTCTGGTGTTTTTAAGCTTTTAAAAAGGGCGACACAGCCTCACTCAACGACGGTCGCGCATCTCGTCGCGGATCAGAGACGACAAGGGAACGAGAAGGGAGAAGAACGCGGTGCGCACACAGGGCACTGCTTTGAAATATTAAGTGACTGATGGATGAGGCTCCTGAGGGGGAGGGGGAGGGAGGGCGAGGAGAGAGAGAAAGAGAGGAATCCGGGAAAAGGACGCGCGCGAAGGACGACTCGCGTATATATCTCGTTCTGGTTTTCCCTGTTGTTGCAATCCCTCCCTCCCCTGTCTCTTTCCTGCATCCGACCCTTGTTTCGCTCTTTTCGTTTCTTTTTTTTTTTTTCGCGCCCTTCCGCACGAAGAACGTGCGTCGTTCCTGTTTCTCAGGAATTTTAAGTGTGTCGATCACGCCGCGATCTCGTACTCGCGTTCTCTGAGTCATCGATGCACCGATGCGTGATCTCACAAAGTGCAATTACAACGGTATTCCCGATAAAGCGCTGAGCGGGCACTCTGGAGAGGGGAGATCAAACAAAGAAATTATTATTATCATCTTAATAATACCGGCTCTGTATTATCTGTTTTTTTCTTTTTTTTTCTTTTTTTTCTTTTTTTTTCTTTTTTAATTATTTTTCTGTTTCTCTTAGCGTCGCGTTAGAAACAATACGCGACCTCGTCGATTTGCACCTCGCAGCTAATATCGATCTCTCCGATATCGCAATTTTTTATCAATCTACATCGCGCGACGTCGACTAACACCGACGTGGATAATCCAAACCGCTCGTTATCAATCAAACTCGTCCTCCTCGTTCGCCTTCGGGCGAATTTCTGGCGCGCACACGTTGTGTTACGGTGCTACGCACACGTGCGGAGACTCTCGCCGCACTTCCGCGACGAGAAACAATATGATTGCAATTTGCATAACATTTTACGAACTCCGCTTATCGATCGATCGATCGATCCCGCCGCAAATAGCGATGCGCTAGAACCTCGCGGTCTAATCGGACGCGCGCGATCGCATGACCGCGAATCACACCCGCGACACGCCATGTTCTCTCCTCCTCTCGCACGATGCTCATTACGCGGGATCATTCTCGAGAGACCGTAAAAGAAAAAGCCCAGTACGCGACCAGATGCGCTATCGCGAGACTCTGAGACTCTGTTTGGGGAAGAACCGGATGACACGCCTCACGCGCGTTTACGACGAACCGCGGCGGTCTCTTTTCTTTGCTTCGTCTGTCTCCTTCTCGCACGTTTGGTCTGACCCAGCATCGCGCCGGAGAGGATCTCGACGAGGTGGATTCGCGAGATAAATCCAAACGGCCAGCGTCCGGATCCTCGCTTATCGCGCCGTATAATCGCACGTGGCTCACGCGCGCGCGGACGCTTACATCAGAAAACTGATTTCCGCGGAAACGTGTGCTTGAACTTCATTCGCGCGCGAATAAATAAGTAAGGCTCTTCTTCGTGAACTAATTTTTTATTTTTAATTCAATTATTCATGAAAATAAAATTACTTCTATTTGTATAGTTTTGACACAATTGAAAAAATTCGTTCATTAAAAATTTATCGCGCGAGGTTAAAGTTGGGCGAGTGATTTGGAAAAACTGAAACTCGACTGAGAGACAAAACGAGCGCTTTTTTGTATATTTTCGCACGTATGAAAAGGTGAAATAGCACCGGTTCCGGACTGGAAATAATACCTGGCAAGGTAAAGCACCTGGAGATGTGCTTTGTGCGGAGTCGCCGAGCAAGAGAGAGAGAGAGAGAGAGAGAGAAAGAAAGAATTCACGCGAGGCTGAAACCTCGGATTTTAAAGCGTAGACTTTAAAATTGCGGGGGTCGGCCTTTGTGAAGAGAGACTGGCGGAGATGAGAGAGATCTCGTTAGCTCCATTTTCTCGGACTTTTTATTTCGTCCTATTTTTTTACGACAGCATTTTTTATAGTTGCGGCTGTCGTATTCTGACGCAGCGGGGCGTGATGAGGAAAGGAAACGACGAGGAATGCGCGGTTTTTATTTAACGCATTCTCTTCGGAACAAGTCCGGAGACAAGATAATATCGAAAATAAATCGAAACGCGTATGATCCCCGCACGCGGAGGACAACAAAGTTTTTCCTAGAAATTCAACGCGTGTGTAATCCTCGTCGTTCGGATATATTTTTAAAATTTGAGACGCGGAAA